TCAACATCTGTACGTATAGGAGTAGCCGTAAGAATACATACACGACATTACCGAAAATATGATAACAATAATAAAAGAATACAGGGGATACGAATGGTGATTCAGTTATAATGCTGGCAATATTAAATCACGATTATCTAACTTTAATTCTAAAGGTTGACTTGGCAGCTTACCCCTTAGCCGTTAGCTCCACGGCGACAGACAGAAAATGACGCTAAAGCGCGACTGGCTAATGGTTACTCACGGGGCATTCTAAACAAAATTAACAATATTTAATGGTACGATCCAAACATAGAAGTATTTTCGTCGTTTACTGAAGTTCAATGATTCAGAAATTACACGAGATTTATTCGTGAATGAGAATTGACAAGATATAGTATCGTGAAATTGATGAAATACGAAATAAGTTTAAGGTAAAAAGTTACATTTAGTTACAGGCATCGATGATCACGAGTTTGGAAGTTAAATAAAATGAAATTAAATAACGAAGGAGTTATTATTAGAAGGATCGAGTGGTCTTCTTTATACGAGGTTAACATAAATTCCTGACTGAATGGCAAACACAACTGATCAAGCATCCGCATGCACATAATGTCGAACTGTTGAAGTAACCCTCGACCTTAGAAATTAGTTTATCTATACTCTATAGCAAAGCTTAGCTTAAGCTCCACAACTTTTTATTTTATCTTAACAATGTGGTCTTCTAAATAATTTGAAATTCATTTTTGGCTTACAAAGCGCATGTATCACGTGTATATCTCAACAGTTTGCAGATAAGTTCAAATGTGTTCAAGTTCGGTTGTGTGTAATGAAGAAGATTTTTGTAGTAAACACTTCTCTCTAAATTATTCTCCTTTAGATCCTCAGCTCTCTTAATAAGAGCTTATGCTTTCCTGCAATTATTAGAAAAGATTTAATGATTCTTTTCATGTACATTCCATCCATTTGGAGTGGGACGTTTTTTAACGTTCAAAGTGGATAAATAACTCGACGTTCTTGATGATGACCAATTGATTAAATGTTAGAGTAATTGGGATTGAAGCGGCGAGATGCAGGTCTGAAACCCACGCTCACCGAAAAAAATTTCTAGTCGAAATCGGCAAGGTAGCCGGGTGCTTATGGTGTAGCAAGATACCTAGTTGCAGTGAGCTGCAGGCTCTATAACTTCAGCCAACTGTAAATATCTGAGATGTCTAGAATCTTCGCCACACCAAGCAAAGTCCAATTTCAAAAACTGACACCACTGACTATACAGGGTGTCCCAAAAAAAACGATACCCAACTTTGAATGGCTGTAACTCGAAAAGTAATAGAGTTAAAAATTTTTGGAAGAACAGGATTTGTTTCCTATATTTTTTTGCATCTCTCCACCAAAAATCAGACAGATCGATGTTGTCATAAGCGTTTGATAGAACTTTCAGTGACATGTACTAAAATCGTGCTTGCGCAAAGTTTTAGTAAGATCATTTTGCATACTCATTACGTTGTCTTGACATGTTTTCTTCTCGCTGTTTGATTTTTATGACCTTTCAAATTTTTTTAACTCTATTACTTTTTGAGTTACAGCCATTCAAAGTTGGGTATCGTTTTTTTGGGACACCCTGTATACTGTATAATATTCATACATATTTTAGCAACCATTCTGAGCATGACCATCGAAATGGATCTACAGCCTAAATGTCACTAATATCACATAAATCAATCCTGTAGATGGTTGTGATGGTATTATGATCATGAGCACTGATATGTTACACGATTATTCATAAGTCCATTATTCACTGTTCCGTTCAGTTAATGAATTTATTTATTTACAAAACACACGGAAAGTTTCAGACTTGTTTCACTTGTATATACCTAGTCAGATTTATATATATACGTTTTACTTAATGATACATTATTTGGTAAATAAAAGTAAATTAGCATGTGAATTTAATACAAATAATGATTACGCCATAATTCGAAAATAATGCAGCACGCTACATGGTACAAAAATGAAATTTTTCAATGAATTTAAAATTTAAGTGACCGGGGTTCGTTGGTCGAAACAATGCTGTTTAGAGAACAATGCTGGAAATAAAACGTTGAAGAAGATTTACCTTCCTGGTTTTATGTAAGAAAAATTTCATTTCAATTTTATATTCTTAAAAAATTACTAAACATAGATTCAAGCAATGAGTGTCACTTGGATGAACGACAAGTAAGCTCATATAAATTAAGCAATCAGCGCGGCGCGAGAAGTAACGTATCAACGATGTTAGGAACGTGGTTTAATGTATGGTTTTATTAGAAGTATAGAGGTTGGAACACATATTATTTCTCATCTAGAGCTTCGAGTAACCTCCGCGGTAACCTCGTTCATACTCGCTCTATACTTTATCAAAGCGCTTCATGATCCACCACTTATAAAGAGGCTCCGAAATTAAAGTACTAATTTATAGTCCGAAACACTGATAAAAGAACAAACAGTTTATATTTTCATATTTTGTACATAAAGCTTGCTTGATTATTATAGTTTTCATTTATCATTTATATGCACGCTCTCCATAGGATCATCGGTTTAATGCTTGGGGTCACCGAAGACTTTATTGATGTGTTTATTTATTGAATGGACCCAACATAATTGGTGGCATGTCAGTCTTAATCTTATTTGGGTTTATGTTTTGAAAGTAACGTTCACGATACCGTGAGTTTTCGCAGCCTCGTCTCATGTGGTGGATCTAGAATACGCCAAGCAGCGTATTCAGTATATTTGTCTAGCTTTTAGTCCGCACGATCTGATGTTTTGAAATGTCAAAGGACCGCAACGAAGATTCCGTCGTTTCCAGTCTGGATGAATATTTTTTCGTGAAAAAAAACAGGAAATTTTTCAGACAATTTATTGTATTGTTTATTTCTTTTATTTCTTGAACTGACCCCAACAACGATACGCCCGATTACGAGCTCATCTGCAAAAAAAAATCGTTTAATTTTAATTATCTGCTTTCATATCGTATTAATTGAATCTCAGCATTATGTCTAAACTCTAAAGCAAAGATGTGCAGCTCCGTGTTAATTTTTTGTTACTTTCACTCGCGGTCTCTGGTATTCGGTATGGCAATCTCTGGAAGTTTTTACCTTGAAAAGTATGATTGTGCCATGAAAATGTGATTCATGCCACGAAGTTGTCATTCAAGTGGCGATGCCTTGCAGAGCGGATGGCGCAACTCTAGGCAGTCAAGATCGTTGAACCGATGCCGATATTCATAACCGAGTTCCAGACACCGCTCGACTGTTGAGTTGTCGGGGAGCAATTTTCCAGCGGGGTTAAACTAGTCAAGAGAATAATATCAGTCAGTTTGGTGGACATAATGATAAATGAGGAATACTGTTTCATCATCCGCCTTTTTTAAAGAAATAGGTTAAGACAGTGCCTTCCGTCTTACAAGGCAGAATCGTCGTAATGGTTAACAATGGGGTCGTACTGATGAAGTATAACACGAAATTCGCAAAATTATTGCTAATTTTATCGTTTTTTATTCATGGGAGCAGTATGGTTGTACCCCGGTCCATGGTTGAGTAAGATTTCTTAATTTGATTGATATTTGATTAATTTTTATAAAAGATCTCAGAAGGGCTAAGACATGGTTCTTATTTTTCGTCAAAATTCGCAGGATAATTTTGATTAGCCAGCTTACCTGACCCCAATAAGGAAGTCCCATAGGAATCGAGGAATTGTCGTGCCAAAACCAATCGTTCGTCCCGTCTACCAGGTAGCCACCAACCCAGTAAAAATCTAAGTGCTGCATATCTGACAAAATTGTTAGATTTTTGTTCATGTTCCTGGTTAATATGCAGGAATTAGCGAAGCGTCTAATTAAAAGGAATTTTATTGTTGCATTTGTTTAGATAATTATTTTATTAATCAATGTTAGTTGCCAGTGTCAAAATAATGTAGGGCAGTGAATCACAAACTGTGATTGGCCCTAACTAGATTGGAAGTTGACCTCATTTTCTACATTGGTGTTAATCGAATTTGGATACTTTAGTTTCCCCTACTGAAATATAAAGAACATATTAGTCCTGAAAAAAAAATTATTTTCAATTATATTAACATACACTATGCTTTTTGAAACAATAGCTTCCCCTTAGATGTTATTTTTTGTAAGCTGTCTATAGATACCATAAAACTAGTTGTGAACCTTTACTCTTGAAACTCCAGCGGGAGCATTTGACCAATAATGTTCAGAGACTTCTTTCCATGGCCACTAATGTATCAGCTAAATCTATCTGCTTGGTCGATTGGACATTGAACGTTTATTAACCTTGCTCGAGGATGTAATTAGCCACTACTCCGAACTGCTCGCAATCATCGAATGTGACCAGATCGCCACCATCCGCCTGGCAGATATTTCTTGATGCCTCCCATGACTGCCTGGCTGAGCTTTCAAAGCTCAGGCACTGACTTCCTACCGCCGTGAAAGGGGGGTTGCAATCACCCTCTGGAAGAGCATGAAATACATTTTATTTTCATGATTTCAATATTTAGATCTTGAAGCTGCTGGTCTAATTTGCAGATTTAGGGTTAATGATATTAATTTATATCGCACAAAAATTAATCCATGTCTCTATCTTATGGTTAAATTTTGTTATTTTTTTTTAATTTGATGTTAGCTCATCGACTAAATAAATGTTTAAATATATACCAGCCCCTCGCCTGCACTTGATGGCCCTTCACAGATGTGATGAGCTTCATATGAGCAATAATACGCCCCCATGTAGGGATTGTCTCCATTGAAAATCCCAGTGCGTTCACCCCCAAAAGGCTCCCATGTGCCTCCATCAGCCTGTTGACAAAAAAAGAGAAGTTTTGTTACTGATTTATTCCGTAGTCATGCTAGCATATTTCAGATCTTGTCTAATCAGTCAAGTTGCTTATATATGAAAAAAACTGTCTGTTATACATTATTTTATGAACCAATGTTGAACTTGCATTATCATAATTCAATAGAAACTACTTAATACCGTTCCCCAGAAGGGTGCCCCCATGGCTACAACAGAACCGTCCCTCCACTGCCATTCATCTCGGGTCACTGAGTACGTTCCTCTGATCCAGTAACTGTTGTACATCGCACCTGCATTGGGTCGGAAAATAAATTCAATCAGAATACAGTTCTTATTTAGAATATGTTACGCTATGGTTCATACTCTATATTGCGAGAAATGGTGATATGCAATGAAACCTTCGCCTACACAGATCAGAACAAATATTATTTGGTACCTTAGGTTCAATAATTATTAATCTACATATTTAATAAATTAATACATGATTGAGTGCATGGTAGAAATAGTTAATTTATTGTCGGAATTGAGACTTACGAACGATAAAAATGGCACAATGCAACTTTGGGACTCACTTGGCACAAACTGAAGATATTAAAGAGGTTAGTGTAAACCCTATTCAAGCAAACCTCTTATTCACCTGTTTCTTCAAGGTAGTGCACAGCGTCCGTGAAAATGTCGCAGCGGTCTAGGGTGGCGAGTTCTCCTTGCAGGTCATGACAGAGGCTCTGAGCCTCAAGCGCGGGCAACCGCTCGGCAGGGGCGAGCACGCAGCCGCTCCCGATTTCATGGTAATTCTCAGGGCAATTCAGTGCGTGCGCTGAAATTATCGATTTAAGGAATCCTGCCTACATAATAAGTTAACCTCACAACTGAGACCCGCAGTAAGACACCGCGAGCTCAGCGGTGGGGCGCTCAGGAACAATCCCCAGCTAGGAACGCAAAATCTTACAGGACTTTTGACAAGCACAGACACCCGTCAGAAGTCCTTCCTGAGGGAATGATCAAATAAGTGCATATTTTCAACATAAAAGTTTCGACCTATCGTGTGCTTACATACTACTATTTTTACAACTAAGCGTTGTATGAATATAGAAAAAAATTTCAAATTTACGATTTAGATTGCAAAAACATAGCTATGTTTTGCGCTCTAATTTTGTTCTTATCGATCATATTATAAATTTCGCAAAGTATTTTAAAACAAAATTTGAATTGAAACTGAAGCAAGTGCTGATCCGAAGCCTTCTTACCAACGACCAGAAGCAGTGATGCCGTGGCAAGACGAGTTTGCCACATCGCGGTTCAGTGAGAATTATTGCCTGCGGAAGAAATTGCAGACCGTGTCATGTTGTTTAAATATTGGTCATTCATAACGCAATGCAAGCTATATCATTGACTCAAGAAATAAGACACCAGGGTAAAGTAAATGAGTACACTAATTCTCGACTTCCAATGAACTTGTCGTATTTGTGAATTTGTTTTTATAAGAAGGAATTCTCAAAATTTTCAGAACAATTTTTCAACAATGGTTGAACTTTATATAACATTATCAGCCGATTTTTTACTCGTATGATATAGTACTCTCCCCGTTTCAGGGTAATTAACATTTTTTAATGCTGACTAAGTTCGCATAGAAATAAAAGCCAATGTAAAATGTAGATTTACCTGAAAATAATTATACTGTAGAAGTCGATAATATCGGAGGTGTAATGGGATAACTGCCCGATTCTTGCACTCTGAAACTTGAGTGTTGTGCTTTTCCAACCTTACCTTGGCAGGCAGTGATGGAGAAGCCGCTGGAGCTACTTTAATATTGACCTGCACAGATTGCAGTGATTCCCACGCTTATAATATTGCTGGGGAAATACGTCTTTATATCACTGTATCTCGAATACTGTCATGCTAAGGTTTCAGTTCATATATGCATAAGTCTTCACAATATATTCGTTAACATATGACTGTTAAATTGCGTTGTGATCTTGTAGTCCTCTTCAGCCTGTCTCAGAAACAAGTATGAATAAATCCTTGATGTAGTATGCAAAACCTAAAGTGCGGAAAGCTCTAAATCACACATGACAAATTCTTACGACCAAAGGATAATTACTGATCTGTTTAAATTGATGCTATTCATTAAGAATTTTACCGTAAAGTCAGTGGAAACGACGCATGCAAATTATCCTTATGAAAATAATATGCGCTGAGACGATAACACTTGAGATACGATTCCGTGAATTGCTGTGCAAGGTACATCAACGTTACCGATCTAAAAAAGCGCCACGGTGAAAGTTCATTCGTATTATCAAAAAAACATATCTACAAGATCCTGATAAAGGGTGACCACGCATTGCAGCTCCTATGATGAGACCATGTCACTACAGCTCTCATGATGAGACCACGTCACTACAGCTCTCATGATGAGACCACGTCACTGCAGCCCTCATGATGAGACCACGTCACTGCAGCTCTTATGATGAAAACACGTCAGCGTGAATGTCGTTGGTTTGCATATCGCCTCGTTGATGTACGTGGGAACGGAGCTCAAATTCACCAGATGGAGATGATCACAATTGAAGATTACAAACCTATGATTCGCACGAACTTTCACGCAATCTACGGTAAAGTAGTTCCAAGACATCTCATGCTGAGGCGATTGAGTAGATTTCTACTTAATCAGAAATTTCAAAGAATAAGGAGATACTGGATGATATTTAATTGGCTTTGTACCAAATATCCTTCACTGTAGGAAACTTAAGGTATCTTCCTACCTTCACTTAGTTCTTGTAACTTGGCGATGTATAAAATTAACTCCCTAAACCATTTCTGACCGGATTCACAATTTAATAATTCTGATTGAATTTATTTATTAAATAAAGCTTTAATTTTCTTTGTATAATTTCGAGCACACGCAGCAGTTTAGCAGCAGAACCATCCTTAGTTCTTGTATAACGACTTAGAAGACAAAAATTCCCTACCCCTATTCCGCGTCCCAGCAAGCAATTCCACTCAAACGTTTACACAGTCAGCACCCAGGATTAATCATCTCTTCATCGTTTCCCTTGGTCGACGTCAAGATATCGGCCACCAACTTTTTGTATTTTAGTCTCGTCTCTATGAATCGGTCGAGACCTGCGGAGCGATCGGGGTCTGGTGGTGGCTACCATTCGGGCAAGAAGTGACGGCGGACCACACTGGTACTGTCGCTGATGCATCCGGGACTTGGGCCCTACCAGGAGCGACTTCCCGTCGGCACGGCATGAAGTACTGGCGCCACGGCGCCCACTGACCGGCGGACCATCCGGCCACGACACCGAACTGACTGGTTCTGCATTCACGGAGGTGAGCTGCGAAAACTGACGCGTAGTGCTCACATAAAGCTCTTCATTATGCCTTGTCCCTCCTATGGAGGGTAGAACCTCCACTTGTGCCTATATTAACTATGTGAAAATTGGAAGTCCTGTGTCTATTGTGTAATACTAATGCTATACTACATTAGTCGTTTTAGCTCTCATCCGTCTCTCTTATCCTGTAAGAAATATATATATACGAATAGCTAGGACGTCGTATTAAACTATAATCATTCACATTACAAATTAAAACGAATATTCCTGTTGCCTTTGCGCAGTGCGAACTTCTATTATCTAATCGAATGCGGGCGAGTGTGCCCGCATCGGATGCTCGGGAGGCGCGTCCGATGGTGGCCACTGACAACTTCGGCTTTGGCGCGTCCGATGGTGGCCACTGACAACTTCGGCTTTCGAAGCGTTACTTCGTTCGGCAGTTAATTAATAAACAATTATTTATTTAATATTGCCTCATTTATCCGCCACCCGGCCGTGTTTTCAATATTCACAGTCGCCAGCAGCGGTTTACGGTTTCATAGCCTCTCGCATGCCAATGTAACCACAGATACAATAAGAACCAAACCACAACAATAAATGATAAACGCAGAGTCAGCAGCAACTGAGATCCATGCAAATGACTGTATTGAACATCCATCGATGTTGGCGTCTCCCCTTTCGGCTCCAATTAGATTTAATAAATCGACTATTTGTTGTGTTTCTTTGCAATTATTTTCAGAAAACAACACTTTCAGTCATCAGGTCCATCTAAATAACCAATACATGATGATTACCACACACCGTCCCTCAGGGCCAAGATTAAGCACTTAGGTGAGAGACATGTAGTTGTTAACGCATTGAACCCTTTTGCCACCAACTTCTTGCGAGTGCAAAATTTCTCATTGTTGAAAATTATTCATGGATAAAAATTTGACAGGCGACATATATGTCCAACTGGTCATAGCTCAGTCAGGAAATATAAGGCTATACATTTGTCCAATTTGACGAATGAGCTTCATGCTTGAAAAAAACATTCATATAGGCAACATATATATACAGATGGACGCTAAATAGTTAAGCAGACTCTTATTATTTCACTGGCTTTCATTGGTCCGGCTGGTCACAATTCTCTCGGCCGGGTGTTTGCTTTGTTCTTTATTCCCATCGCCAGCCTCTATCAGGAAACTGTCTTATCAGTGGCCAGTATTCCGCTTTAATGCTGGCACGCGGGGGGCCACCCGAGCCTTTGTTATGGACAATAATATTGCGGCTGCAATCTCGCTCAGACTCTGAATTAATATTTATTCTTGTCCACCTCCAGCTCATGCAACAAATTGCACTTTTCGAAATTGATTATAAGTGGCATCCAGGGATTTGCTGATGAGCGTGTCACCGAGATAGTAACAAACTCCGTGTCAGTAAACCGAAACGACCACCACGTGGTTTTTTGTGTGTATTTGCCTTGACAAATACAGCCTTGCTCTATAATTATCTGCTTCGGACAAAATAACTTGGTACGGTTTAAGCAAACACGTGGGACGAAATCGTAAAAAAAATTAGTGACAGTAATTTAGGATAATCGCACCGTGGATAGAACGATGGGTGCGAATACATCATAATTCTGACTCTTTGTATATTTATTCTTAAAAAAGGAGAATTGACTATTATTGTCTGGCTCGAATATCATTTAAGGTGAATTTCTATCCAACGCGAGTGCGTTGGCTAGCGACGCAAAAATAACTCCTGACGTTTTGGTTAGTTGGAAACTGAAAAGTTTCTCTGTGCTGTGGCTGCTATCAAAACTTTCTACCGTTCAACAAAAGAACAACGTTATTTTACAGAAGAATGTTGTATTCTCCGGAACTGAGAAAATGAGCTGCTTAACAATAACGAAAATTTTGTAATCAGCTTGATGATGAACCACGATATTGGCCTCAATAATTCAGGGCGATATTTGAACTCTCGAAGAAAACTAAATATGCAATTAATAGCGTGGTGATGAATTCAACTCATTCTAGTTTGGATCATTTATTTTTGAAGGCAATGACAATCAGAAAATGATTTAGAATTTTTTGGTACCATGGTATGACGCACGGCGTATATTCCTCTATTATGAGTCAATTGATCATGACTAAATGTTCAGTATCGCAAAATTAAAATATAATTTACTAAGATGAGTGAGCAAATATTTGGCAGAAACCACGCAGATAATGGCCGCCATGATGTGTGAAAGAAACGAGATATTGAGTGACTTGAGCGGTCGAAGTCTTCATCAATCTGCCATCATTGGAACGNAGCACACCTGGGCAGGTACTCAGAAGCTAATTAGCGCTGATACGCGGCTGGCGATATCGTCTCTAAAGCGGACATTTCTGCTCTATCGCTGCTCTGTCGCGTCTCTACGCCGGCTCTGCAGCCGGCGACGGCCTGCTCTATTCCCTGCCCTAAATTTTAACTGGGATAAGCCATGGATTTGTGCTCCATGTCGTGCATTGTTCACAAAGAAATTCGTTCTCATGCAAGGTGGAATTCAGGTAAATTTCGTTGCAGTCACAATCATTGTCCGGAAAATTACTTTAGGAGAGTAGAACGCTAATCCGAGATATTGGAGAGAATGCAGCTTGAAGTTGTTAAGTAATTTTTCATACCGGATTAAGGACAGCTTGAATTCAATTTAGCTGAACGACCTCCTACTCAATCATGCTGGCTGCATTTTCTTTCAGTTCGACAGTAGTAGCTGTGCCGGAATTTGATCTTACCTTATGACCTTATTTATGATGAGTTTAGGACGTCGTAGTCCACGGTCACGCTGATGCGCCGCCTTCGTCGTCCTCCGTCTCCGAGTCGTCGTCGGATGTAACGTTGGACGTGTTCCGTCTATTTGCCCTGTCTCTTATACACATCTAGATGTGTATAAGAGACAGGTATTAAGAAATTGCATGAGGCTGCGTCACGTCCGATATCATTTCTCAAGTCCAGAGTTAATAGAATGCAGGTACTGAAGCCAGACTTGTGGAGGTCAATAGACTCAGTTGATAAATACCTGTCTCTTATACACATCTAGATGTGTATAAGAGACAGTAACCATGCTCGCTCATAAGCAGGGCGTTCTGGCCAGAGTCAAAGTATCAGGTGCGAACACTTGACTGCCAAAGATCTTGTACTCGAGATGGTGTGGCCCATTAACCAGTATCAGGTACAATAATTCTTCGCATTCAAATGTGGCATTTTATAAAAATTTATGCCTTACGTTAATTCCTGCTGTGATTATGGAGTAGTAGTCGCGACTTAGGGACTTCTTTATTGAAGATCGCCAAGTTGGACGTTGCCGCCCAGACCACCACCTCATCTCCCTTTCGTTTCTTTGCCCTCACAAGTGGTACGATACCCAGCAGACGCGCGCCGTATAATGCCCTCCGTCGCCGTCCCTGTCACCTT